CAAACCCCAGTGCCTCAGAAAACAAGAAAAAAAGAGTTAGGGTCTCAAGGATATGAAGGATCCTACCCAGTGACTTGAAGTGCTCCTTGGAGGCTGGAGAACTTGACGGACTGAGGGTCTCACATGGGTTTGACAAAAGAAGCAGCCTGGGGCTTGACTTGTGAAATATCTGTCCTTCCTTTAATACCGGTCAGAGTGCCCTTTCCAGAAGCTCTACAGGGGCCCTAGGTTCAAAATGAACCTTGTCACAATTCTGCCAGGGTTAAGTCATACTCATCAGAAAGTGACTGGCTACACTCAAAGTTCTAATATGAGGGGAAGTCATAAGTAACCTCCCCATATGTCTATTGGTTTTCTTAAATGCAAAACATGGGGGAGTTCGTTCTGGAAGTTTCAAAATTGAGACTTAAAAATTGATACTCAAGGAAACAGGGAATAAGAATGCTATTATGAAATGAGCTTTCTGTGCACATTCGATATCTTTCATATTACCATTTGACTCAAGTTAAATTTTATTATGCAAATTAAATAGAATTGTTTTAGTGATTATCCTGTGAGTTTGTGCTGTGTTAATTTAAGTATCTCACATCCCAAGTTGCCAGTCTCCAGATTGTGATATGTATACATCCCAAAAGACTTTGAAATATATGGAAGTACTTTTACGAATTACCCATGCTTATGTCAGGTTATGAACATTTCTACACCAAAGTGATTTTTTAGATTACAATGGTGTAGGATTAAGTTTGCCTACATGCACCAGAAACCAGAAATCATTAGCGGCTGTTCACATAAGGTTTTATTTTCTCATATAAAAGTGGGGGTATAACAGGTCAGGACTAGTACTGAAAGTTCCACAGATTGTCACAAGAGACCAACAACTTCCAACATTCTGCTCTGCTGTCCTTTGGATGGGACCCAAAATGACTGCTAGAAACCTGTCATTATGCTCACATTCTATACATCAAGAAGAAGCAAAGCAAAGAGAGACTTTGGCCAGCAATGGTGGTGCACATCTGTAATCCCAGCTATTAGGGAGGCAAAGATTGTGAGGATCATGGTTCAAGGCCAGTCCAGGCAAAAAGTTATTGAGAACCCACCTCAACCAACAAGCCAAGCATGGTGGTGTGTATCTGTGGTCACAGCTATGTGGGAGGTGGAAATAGGAGGATTGTGATCTGAGGCCATCTGCAGGCAAAAATGTTACATACTATATGAAAAATAAAGCAAAAAAATGAGCTAGGAGCATGACTCTAGTAGTAGAGTATGTGCCTGAGTTCAAACCCTACTACTACAAAAAGAAAAAGAGAGAGAGAGAGAGAAAGAGAGAGAGAGAGAGAGAGAGAGAGAGGAAGGAAAGAAGGAAGGAAGGAAGGAAGGGAAGGAAGGGAAAAGAAAAGAAAGATTTTCCTGGAAGTTGTATAAATTACTTTCCCATGTCACCAGTTGTGTCTAAGTATAAAGGAGGCTGGAAAATGTAGCCTGCAACCTTGTATGTCTAGCTAAAATGTGGAAACTTTATTACTGATGCAGAAAGAAGGCCTAATATTGTGAGATAACGTTTGCCTCTGTTTGATATAAGGGAGCACAGAGGTTATGAGTAGGCTCTGGAGTCAGACCATTTGCTTTGATTCTTGGCTCCATCACTTCATCATTGTAACTTTGAGAATCTTTAAACTTTCCATATCTTTACTTCCTCCTGTTAAGCGAGAATAGTAGTGTCTTGAGCACTTAATGTGAAGTCATTTAGAATGGTGACTGGACATGTGCCACTGTTATTACCACAATTTATTATGATTCACTAAGCTGTTGTCTCTGTAGCTTCCGGGTTTGTTTACTACTCTAGCCCTATGTATTAGTCAGCTTTTTGACATAACAACAAAATACCCAAGGCACCCAAATTTATAAATTAAAAAAAAAGTTTATTTAGTTCACGGTTTTGAATGTTGAAACTCCAAATAGCATAGTGCAGGGTCTGGCAGACTTCATGGTGGATGGTGCCAGTGCATGTTGGGGAGGATTACATGGTGAGGTAGGAAGCAGAGAGAGCTGGGTGAGACCAGGTGCTCCTTTTATAATAACGTCTCTTGAGAATTATCAAAGGGTCCCAGAGAACTACCTCATATACCCCTAATGGCCTGAAAACCTTCCACTAAGCCCCACCCTTTAGGGTTCCACAACACTTCTTAGTGCCACTACCATGGGAACAAGTCCTTCAATCATATGAACTTTTGGGAGATGCAATTAAGCTATATTCAAACTGCAGCACCTTAGAACCTAGTATGATGTTTGGAACTTGACAGATATGGATGGATGGATGAATGAGTGAGTGAGTAAGTCTGGATGAGTTTTGAATCATAGAAATTCTACTTTTTAGCTGGTTTACCTTGCTATTTCTTAAACCCTTTTGGTCTTAGTTTTCCCGTCCCTGAAATGGAACACTTAATGGAGTACTTAAGGGCTCATCTTTCACCTCTCCAAATCTATTTTCTGCCCTTCTCAACCAAATGCCAAGAAGGCTGACCTTTATGGATTACACTCATGAGTTCCTTTGCCCTGTGGTTTCCTACTGGGATTGGTCCATGGGAAGTGATCAGATGTGGGAAGGGTATGAGCTGGACATTTATTCCTGTGGTTTCTTCCCTATAGGGTCATGGTTTGGTGATAATTGTGTGTATGTTCTAAAAGCCACAGCTATCAAGTGGCTTTATCTTTATAGCTGTAGGTGCTTCTCGTTTCAGTAACTGGTCTACCCTATGGCTACACTATTATTATCCTCAAACATTTGTTGATTTTTTTAAATGCTTGCCATACTTTTATAAATAGATACTTCATTACATTCTCCTCAGTTCCTCATTTCATTTTCTTTTGCCTCTGAGACCAAAATTGATACACAACAGAGCCCCTTTGAGTATTTAATGAAATAATGCATGCAAAGTACTTAATACAGTGTCCAACACAGAATAAGTTCTCAATAAACTTAAGATCCACTAATGCTGCTGTACCTGTTTCTTTTTACTCATATATTTCATACTTCTTTGCTTCATGTAATTTTCAAAGAGTTAGTAAATGTGTTGCAGTATTTTACTGGTGAAAATGATAAGAGCTTGCTTAAGGTTAATTTTTTAGAATTATACCTTCAAACAAAATGACAGATACTTATTTTTTCCCAAAAAGAATTTTCTTTTTTGTTAAAATATGTAAGGCCCAATGCAGCGTCCCCTTATCATTGGCTTGTGAGTCAGGATATCTAGGGAGAAGAGTAGTTAAGCTAATGGGTCAGAACTAAGAAATTGGTCTGGGAAGCTGGGGATAACTCAGGAGGTGGAGGTCTTAGATATCAGTGGTCACATAAGCCCAAGAACCTAGAGAGATGTGGTATAGACCAGGGAACCATGACTAGTAGTTATAGAAGAACCTCATTGTTGACCCAATGTGGATCAAAGCTCTTTAACTATACCTATGATACTCTTGCAGTTGAACACTCCATGTTTCCAAAGAGTGGTTTCAATCATTTTGAAACAAAGGGGCTGGTGGCTCACGCCTGTAATCCTAGCTACTTAGGAGGCAGAGATCAGGAGGATTGCAGTTCGAAGCCAGCCCAGGCAAATAGTTCACAAGACCCTATCTTGAAAAAAACCCATCAGAAAAAGCAGGCTGGTGGAGTGGCCCAAGGTGTAGGTCCTGAGTTCAAACTCCAGTAACACAAAACAAAAAAGAAAAACAAAAATAAAAACAAAACAAAAAAATCTATTGGAACAATGTGTTCTGGGGTTTTATTAGCTATCTTGGGAAACCCAGTCTTCAAGTTCAGGAAAATAATGGTTTTTCCTGGTGGTGAGTTCTGGTCCTTTGCTCTGAACCTTCAAACTCATGATTTTCTCGAATTTTGTTCTTTATGGTGCAAATATTTAATCTTAGCCTGTGAGAAATACGCTCACCTGTCCAAACTCAAAGAATGGACTCAGAGACACATGGAGTGCAGACACGTGGAAGTGAGACTTTAATGGCATCCTCCATAAGGATGGGTGCCTGAAGAGCAGAGACACCAGAAGCTGTTACAATAAGCATTATATTGCCTAGTGTGCAAGTCCCTCCCCCATTGTCCCTGAGTACTATGGGATGTACATTTTTTTTTCAGGGGCCTTGCCTAATTCCTATTGGGTTATTTAAAATATGCCTCTTGGGATTGGTCAAATTTTAGAGGCAGCTTCTGCCTTTGTGGTGGGAAGATCTCCATGTGATGTGTGCTTTCTGGCATGTAACCCATCCCCTTACCCTAAGGTGATTTACGCTACCCAGTTTAAGTTCTGTATCCGTTGTCCCTCCCCCAACATCTATAAACTGATACATAAGTAAGCTGCTAGGGTTAAGTGCCTTGAAAATGGACCAATATTGACTTTATTTCTAACAAGCTTGTCACCCACAGCTTTCTAGTACTTAGAACTTTTTGTTCCCAAGAACTTTTTTTCCCATGACTCCCTAGATGCTATCCACGGTGCTTCTGCTGTTGAAATGAATGCATCTTATAATTTCACAATATCCCTTATAGTAATGATTGCTTGGTAATTCACCAAATTATCCTTCACAATTCAGAGTAGATCACGATGATGACAATGACGACAATGAAATTTGAAGTCCCGTTTGAGTTACAGAGCCATTGCTAAAAACATTTTCTTACTTAGAAAATTTAAAACAATACCAACCTTGGAAAGGGTAAAGAAGGAAGTAGAAAATAGGTAAATTAAGTAGTTGAATGAAGCACTTTCCATGTTATAGAAACAACTAATTTGATTTTTATTTTCCAACAACACACAGTAAGAAACTGCTATTTTTGGATATTTGTGATCAAACAGTTGAAGGCTATAAGATAACACATTTTTTTCCACATCAACTAGAGTCAACAATTAAGATCAGAACATATTTAAATAGGAATATATTTTATAAACTGACCATGGTGATGATTAACTTATTTTTCTTGTATGTGGCTTCTATTTTTCCAGGTTTGGATATCAGAAACACACGAGCAGCTGTCACAATATTTTTTAAAAAGAGAAATGGCTGAAAAAAAGAGCAAGGCCTTATTGAATGAGGAAACAATGTGCTCTGGAATTTTTAAAAGGTATCCTTAGTGCCTCCTTTTGTCTACAGAGCACACACATGTAGGAAAGGATTTGCATTAGCAGGAAATACAGTGGCCTCAGCCACACATCCAGCACTTTCATCTCATGTATCCATGCTCTCTGTTCACCCTGTTCTCTCTGACAGGATTTCCTTTTCCTTCAATCATTCACCAATCAAAATTCTACTTATTCTGAGTCCAGCTAAGATCTCATTTCCTCTTTATACATTTTTCTGATACAGGTTCTGACTATTTAGGTTTGAACAGCACTTCCACAATTTACTAGTGTTTGGTGTCTGCAATCTTGTTTGCACACCTATAAAATGGGAATTATTAAAGTGTTCACCTCATAGGATCATCCTGAGTTTAAATGAAATAAAGTACGTACTGTGCCTAAAATATTTTAGTAAGAATTAGGTAAGCTGACATTAATCAGAAGTAATTCCTCTGGTATCCTTGACATCTGAGCATTTTATGCCCTATGTAATGGTTGGACTTGCATTCTAGTTCCTGTATATGCATTGAGAGAGAGAGAGAGAGAGAGAGAGAGAGAGATTATTCCTTTGAGGGTGGGAGCTGTTTCTTTGTCACCATATTTGTTTTGCAACCTACCACAGTACCTCTCATGGAAATGCATGTCATGGACTTTGTCATATAGTGTAATTATTGCAAAATGCAGTCAAGGTAATGATAAATGCTAAAATTTCTTCTTACTTGTTGGTACATTTTATTACACAAAGTATAGAAACATTTCAAACATAAAAACCTTTTTAAAATAGTCATAAAACTTCAGCCACCAATGAGTGTTGTACAGTTTGAAAGCTTACATATGACAGTCAGACATGTTTTCTGAATGTTGCTATCTTGTTTACAGGGACACTGGATCACCTGCTACAGGCTTTGGGGCTATCTTTACAAGACATCCACCAGATTGGGGAAAAATGTAAGTTGTTCTTAAACTGCTGCAGTTTGTACAAAACGTTTATTGATTTAAGAGGTTTGTTTGCAGGGAAGAAGATATGAGGGGTATGCCAAGGTCAACAAAATGCCCTTTACATGACATCTTAGACTTTAACAAAAGATTTTTGTCCATCAAGAGGCAAAATAAAATAATATTAACAGTAATACTAAAACAGTTAATCCTTATATTTATGTACTTTGTATTTGTGAATTCTCCTACCCTCTATATATTTTTGGTAACCTCCAGATAAATACTTGTAGCAAGGCATGATGGCACATGTCTGTAATCCCAGCATTTGGGGGACAGATCATGAGTTCAAGATCAGCCTGGGCTACATAGTGAGACTCTTTTTCAAAAACAAATGAACAACAAAATCCCAGAGTCTTGTAGGAACCTAATCCTGCATTTTCTCTAAGAGCAATGGTTCAATGTTTGCTAATTCAGTGTATGGAACAACTTTCTAAAGCATACTGTGAACAACAACACACACAAAAAAGAATGGTGTTGAGACCCTAATACATTAACTGATAGAAGAAATAAATTTCTTTGGGGGACAGCATGAACTCTTATGCATTCATCTTTCTAAAGGAGACAAGCTGTATATTTTCATGTGGAAATATAACAAAATTCTAACCATTGGATTGTGCATTATAAGATTGTCACAAAGATTACAAGTTGATATGTGTACAGCAATTAGGATGTAACCAAAAATTATTCAATAAGTGCTCTGCTTTATACTTTCAGTCTATAATAAGACTAAGTTCAGAAGCATCTTCTTGATTTACTTCATTTACTTCTTTATTTTGTTTTCTCTGTTCTATTTTGAAAAATCTTTATTTAGATGTTGAGCCATGATTCTCTAATTATCTTGTCTTTTCTCTCTTTTTTTTTTATCTTTAATATCTACTTTCTTGTCTTTTCCTACTGTGAATTCTCTTTTTGTTTTCTGAATTTTTTGTCTTTAAGGGATCCTTTTTGGTTGTCATGACCACAGTATCTTTTTTTTTATACATGTGGGGATGATAATGATAGTTAATTTTTTTCCTTATACTTAGTCTCTGTGTTCTTCAAAATGCCTTTTTCTTTCTGTATGTTTTTCATTTGTGTGGCATCTGTCTTCCATGGTAGAGGTATTTCCTCCAGGGTCTGGTAATCAATCCTTGGTTTTCCGTTCCTGATTGGAGCTGGTGCTGGGAACTTGTGAGTGAGTTTGTTGACTTGGTGCATGGCTAGAGAACTCTATCTTGCTCATTGTTTTCAAAGCAGTTCTAGTGTCAGAATTTCACTTTTTCCTCTTGGGCTGGTCAGAATCCCAGAGGAGGCTTTCCAGTCTCCTATCTGAATGGCAAAAACCTGGTTCCTGTGTCCTTGGAGTGAAGGGAGATTGTCTTGGGGTATTAGTATAAACTCTTCATTGTGTTGAGTCACACTGCACTGTATTGTTGAACAAGGACTTTCTTTTCCTTTATCCTTCCCAGCATTCTAGCCTCTTGCTGGAGGTGGGAAGAGGCAGTTGCTCTGCAGTGGGCAGTGGTGGGGAAGGGATCTCTGGAGCTCTTATGGCTTACTGAACAGCTCTCCCACAATTGTTTGCTGACTCAGAATTTGGTCTTCTGTTAACTCAGAGACTATGTCTCATCTTTTCTTCAGCTTCCAGTTTGTTCTTCTTGTTCCTTCTTCTGTTCTCCTTTTCTTGTAGGTTTTTAATTTTTAAAAAGACTCCTTAATATGGTTTTAGTGGAGCTTTTAGGGAAGCATGTTTTGATAGGCATGTTGACTCTGAAGTCATCCAGTCTCATTTTTAATAGGCCACTCCTCCAGAGGACTTTACCATATCTACTGTCACACTCACTCACATGACTTGGTTAGGTCCCTCTTTGTAGGTGTCCCAACACTATTTATTTTTTTGTGTGTACTTACTCTCTTTCTCATTAAATCAATGCTTAAAGGGCAAGAGTGTCACAACTCTACTCCTGATGTAGAGAGCCTGAACTACTGCAGGTGCACCAGAGTTATACCTTCAATGAATAGATTGTTTCTGATGTTGAACACCAAATCACAATGGAAGAGGGTATGTCTGATTCCTATCCTATTTGATTTAGGAATTCAAGGTCTGTAGATCCAAACATTGTCTCAATTCTATTTTGGTAAATGCATTAGAAGATATTATCTTTTAGAAAAATAAACCTCTAATGGTATGGGATGCTAGAATTCCTATTTGTATTATTTGATTCATGAGTATTAGCAAGGAAATAAATCTATGAGCACCTTCAACTGTCCTCTATCTGTGATTTTTTCTTTCAGTTAATATACACTAATTATAGGGCGTTTCATATGAATGCTGTGGTGTCTTAGAAACTGCTCTCTTGAATATTAAATATTCTTTAGCTTCTTCCCAATGTACAGCTGTGGAAGTTAAATGTCAACCTTAGAAGGCAATGAATAAGAATGAGTTTGCTCAATGGACCAAAATATGTGCTTTGACTTGTAAGAGAAAGGCTATAATCATAATGTAAATTTGAACTTCAGGTTACCTCTTACAGAAAAAAACCAGAATATAAATGTATAGCTTTGTTATTAAGGAGGCATTAGTCCAATGCACTCATCTTAATTTTTAGATGATATCCATTATGTTGTAATGGCATGTGACTTTCTGTTTCTTTTGCTCCTAACTGTGACTTTTGCTTCACTTTGCACCAGTATGAAGACACCATACTTTTCCTCTGTGATTGGTAGCAAACATCTCAGTGAAACTCATCAAAAATCAAAACAACTACAATATTTAATACTGATAGACTTGCCACTCCTACTTTAACTAGAGAAAAGGGCTCTGTGAATAACTTCTTCCTCATATGCCACAGACTAAAATAAATGGGGAAAAATTATGACATAGGGAACAGTTAAGTAGAGACGAAAAGTGATTTCAAAGACTTAAACTTTAAACATGACATTTATAGACTTTGAGGATGGATTGAGCTCATCTAGAACTTTAGCTATTGTTTCCCCTGAGAATTGGTCACATTCCCGACAATGAGTTTCCAAGGAGTTAACATTGGCCAGTGATGGGACTGCTGAGAGTTAAGGAGGCTGAAAGTACATTTTTTAAAATGTCTAATTGACACAGGTGTGTGTGTGTGTGGGGAGTCTGGAGCATACATTACTTTTATTCCATGGGTAGTGACAGCAAAGTTATAAAAAAGTAATGGGAGGCACATTTCCTTTAAGGCACATAAGAAAGGATGATGAGAATACCAGCAGAGGGAGTATGATAATTTACATTTCTTTTTGCCCTCCTATCTGATTTTTAAGCACCTCAAATAAATTTAATTTAAATTTGAAAATACTTTTTATAAGGCATGAGGAACTAACTCATTAATTTTCAGGAGCTTCCTGAATATAAAATCATTTCATCTAATACAAAATCATTTCATGATTTGTCCATAAACCTAGATAGCTAAGTCATTTTGAGAAGTAAGGGTTTTGAGAAGTAAGAGCTTTGAGAAGTAAGGGTTTTGAGAATTAAGGGTTTTGAGAAGTAAGGTTTTCTATGTAAAAATATCTGGATCATGACTGTGACCCTTCAACAAACTGCTTAAAATTAAAACAATAGAACAAACAAAATAAAAACTATGCCAAGTATATCCCATATTGAAAGGGAGATGTAGTAACAAATACAGTTTTATGTGAAGGTCTTATTTCCCAGAAGACTTCATTTAAATACAAACCTGTAACCTTGTATCATCCTCAGATAAGGGTCCACAGGAGAAGTCAGTTTTTCTTCATAGGAAAATAATTGCAAATACTCTGCCAGAGTATTTTTTGTGTGAGAAGCAAGTCCACAGGAGCTAGAATAAGTGTGAGGGGAGTCCAAGAGTACTGAGCATCCATTGGAACATAGAGAAGAACACAAGGTAGACTTCACACAAGGTGAGCCCTAACTACTGCATTTTGTCATTTTTACCAGATTTCATTGCTTCCTGGTGGTAATATATATTTGTTAAAATTCTACCACATATGTGTCTTGCTTCCAGAATTCATTCAAACACGTACATGATCCTCATGGTATGAGAAGAAAGAAATTCATAGTGTATTGGATCTCTGGTAGCTTTTGTACATCATGAGGTTTTCCAGAAAGAACACAGGATGGGAAAATAGGAAGGGATCTACTTCTGAGCCTGCACTAAACCTACCAGGTGACCTTGTGCTGGTTAATAACCCTCTCTGGGCCCTAGTTGTTTCCAACTGGAAAATGAGGGGATTGAACCAAATGATCTGTAAAGTCCTTCCCTGTGTTAAAATTTTATGGCTCTAAGGAGAAAGTCATCTATGGTCACATAAATGGGCAAGTTAAATGAGGCCAAAAAGTAGTTCAGGCAGTTAAGTGTTCATTGTTGGCAGGAACCACTTCTCCATGTGTGTGGAGTGGTCACTTCACAGTAACTGTTTGAGCTCAGGCTAGAGTTTAAATCCTTTCAATTTATTCCTCTCACTGGGACATTTAGCATCTATAAAGTCTTTCACACACGTCAGAGGAAAGAGACAGCATATGAATTGTATGAGGGTTTTTGTTTTCATTTTTTCTTTTCTTTCTCAAAGTATAGTACACAGCAATTGTTCTCTTTTCTACTTAGGCATTTGTGTGGCGACCTGCCTCTTGGTAAAATACTACTCAGTTGTTGAACATATTTCCAGAAGGAAAAATAAAATTTCAAAAATTGTCCTATGAGGATGATCAGGAGGGGGATAACAACAAAGAAAATTTGAAGAGTATGGTGTGTTGGAAAGGCTGTGGAACGGAGTGAAACAAACCTGAATACCATTCTTGAGTCTGCATCTTATTCCTTTATTTTTTTTATTTTTTTTTAAAAACTTTTATTATTCATATGTGTATACAAGGCTTGGGTCATTTCTCCCCCCTGCCCCCACCCCCTCCCTTACCACCCACTCCGCCCCCTCCCTCTCCCCCCCTCAATACCCAGCAG